CTGTACCGTGTTGATGAACCTATTGGCAGTTTGAGCTAAGTTGATTTGAACAATTAAAATATAGCTTCAGTTTGTTAAATTGGCGCTAATCGTTTTTATTTACATATTAGCCTTTGATGCCAGTCACCATGCAAGTCAACTCTTTGCTATGTTTCAGTTAATAGCTCAGGTTAATGGTAAACTAGTTTAGATTTGTAATCCATGTGCAAGTTAATTTTCTGTTTAACTCTTTGTTTCCTCACTATTTTAAAGAACCACTAATTTACAGTGGGAGAGCAAAACTAGTTGCTCCTGTTTTATTCAACAGATAGCAACATATCCTGACCATATTGATGATGTACTTGACATCTTGTTTTTGCAAAAGGAGAGTGTAATAGAATTGACATGTCATAACAAATGAGCAATAAATTGCCAGGATTTATGGATCCAATAACTTGCCTAGAAAAGTTTCTTTCCACTTCTGCCCCAGATTTCCAAGAGAATAGAACATAGGTGCCATCAGTTTCGCTGACATATGGAGTCTGTATCATTACAGACAAGCATGTCATTCGATATGGTCCATAGGACCACACCACTGGATAATCACTTGTCCAAATGCTATATATAATAAGCCAGTCCTATCACAGGCAACTCAACATTTAAATCATTCACTATGCTTGGAATATTATTTATTAACTGCAGAATTGTTACTCTCTGTTCGTGTGATACTCACCATTTACACCCCACTAAAATGAGTTAAAATCCTTTTGTAGAAAAGCTTCCACACTTGTCTTGGTGGAATCAGCATGGTTTAAACTATATCTTCTTTTTGTGCTTTAACAGAACAGATGCAAAGGACTAGATCCACAGAGTTTGATTCTAATCAAATGATAATAGAATAGTACCTGAAGGAACAACAAGCGACAGCAACTCGTACCTATATGCCAATGAAGAGCCCCTCAATTTTCAACCAGGCCCTTAAGATTCTTATACCTATGTAAAGGTAAAGTAGTTCTTGATGCTAAAGAAAAAGAAGACTTAGCAAATAGAGAAAGAACCACACTTTCTGATGGGAAAGAAACATACTTGCTCTGGAGTATGAAAAGTCTCTTCCTCGGGCTCATTGAGATCCAGGACATTAACCAATAGCAAATCAAATCCCCCATGGGTAAGCATCCTCCAGCTCGTTGCATCCATCAATTCCCACCTCTTACCCATTTAAATCGAAGCAACAAAAGTTGGATCACGATTCCTGAGTTCATCGAAGTCCTATCTTTCTCTGGAAGACTACCACCCAGAAACCCTCGCCCATCAAGAAAGAATCTTTTTCATGTTATTATTATCATCTAACACCAAACTCGAACCTAATCTAAACCGAATTGGAAGCTCGGGCTTCGATCTAAAAATTGGAGGAAACAGACAAAAGAGAAGGGAACAAGCAAACAGTTGGAGGATCACCGGAGATGGCGCTGGTGCCTGTGGAGATGAGGGCGAATGAATACGGCCTTGTCGTGATGGCTCCGCGCGAGGACCTGACGACCGCCATTCCGACCTCCCCGATCCCATCTTCGCACCCATCCTGCTTCTATCGAATCGATTGTCCGGGATGGAGAATTGGGAGGGTTTCAATAAGAGATGCAGGAGAAAAAGGCATCCGGGAAACGTGACTAGCGAAACGGAGCCGCGTCCTCGTTAAGTTCCAATATAATCCATTCAAAAACTCGAGCCTGACTGATCAAAATGTTTAAACTGAAGTTGATAATAGTACACTCATCAGATCCTTATAAGTCAATCTTAATCTTACCCACTTTCGACGTGGAACTAATCAGCGATGTTACACCTAAAACACTTGTTCTCCAACACACCATGACATGACCAAGAAAGGCGATGCTACCATGGCCAACTGGTATCTTCTTCTCAGATCTCTATGCCTGCATGCATACGTAAGTCTTCATGGACATTCAAACATACACACACGCACACGTACATGGAGACATGTAGTGGAGAAGAAGACGAAATTAAAGAAAGAAGCATCCACGAGTGGAGAAGAAGAAAAAAGAAGCAGTCATCGCTGCAGAAACTATATTTTCTATGTGAATCACGAATATGTTCGAGCAGCACATGGCTATGCTTGATCGCAACCTCACCGCTCGCCAAACATCCACTGGTGCTTGCAACAGTTAGCAGCAACACGAAGAAGGAGAAAACAGGATCAGGCTTTGGTTTCCGAGCTCTGTTTCCTGGTCACCCGAATGTACGCAAAGATGGCCCCGAGAACCGCAGAGGCAAGCCCTCCGAGTATAACCTCGGCCCCGGCTATCGACTTGTCGGAAGCCCGGTGGTGGTGATTCGCATCCTGAGTTGCCTCCGGCGAGCCGGCAAGTCCTGGCTCTCTACCTGCGTTCACACTCGAGGAAGGAGCACTAGCGTTCCCAAGACTGCTGCCGATGACATCCACCTTCACCGGCGTCGACCGAGCCACTGCCAGAGTGACGGTGAGATCGAGAAACAACACGAGGAGGAGAAACAAGCGAGACATTGACCGACCGCCAAGCTTGAATGGTGGGAATTGGATCTGTTTGGAGCGATGTTTTGGGGCTCTTTGGAACAAGCACAAGGGGGGACTGCCCACCATTATATATTGGCATTTGTCCAGTGATCAGCATGGTTGAGTTCTTAGCTGCAATTATTGTGGGAGTTGTGGGAGAAGATTGAGAGCCACCAGTAGATGTCGATGACTATGACATCACAACTGAGCCATTCTGAAAACTTCAAAATGTCAAAAATACAAAGAGAAGAAAACTATACTCCTTGGATGATCTTGATCCAAAATTTCCACTATTATGTCATTCGATGAATCATTCAATTCTGGTTTTTTGTATGAGAAGCCAATTTAACTTGTCAGGCAGTAAATTATTAGCAAGGCTAATTTAGATTTGCTGGGGTGCAAATCTAGCAGAGTTGAATACTAAATTCCATTTGAATGGGAGCAGAATCGACCAACCTAGATTTGCTTGACATCGAAGATTATACTGTGTGAGCATCAGTGCTTCCTCCCGAGGAACAACCAACTCTTCGTACTGTGGAATGAGCTACTAAGTTAGAACCAAGGTTATATCTACCTGCACATATCTAGTCTTTCATATGGATCCACATGTATTCTAAAGAATCTATTACCATTGTGCACCACCATCACGCAGCAGATGTACACGTAGAAGATTAAACAAATGGAAGACCGGAAGCTGATGGTCTCCTGGGATCTTAATTGTCTCTGTTTCATGAACATGAACATCCAGGTCTTGTAGGCAACATGTTCTATGTTGTTCTTGCCAATAACCTGACTCGATACAGGCTTACAGCTGTGTGTTACGGATCAAGTAGACTCTGGCTTTGTCCTCCCGTGCACATAGTTTAGTCCTTCAACGTATGACCTGATGCAGAGGATGCAATATGGTCTGTTCTCCACAAGACATGAGAAGGTACACTAGAGATTCTCCTGCTACCTATTACTTGAGAGACAATGTCTGCAATGTCACTGAGATGCCATCTTGTTAATAATACACTCTGCTACAATGTTAGATGACAGCATTAGACATATTCATGGAAGGAAGGAAGGATTTATCAGTGTTACTTTGATCTCCTCCTTCATGTCAACAATCACTTGTTATTGAAGAGTGCAATCTGCAAGACAAAGGGCACACAAGAAGGAAACCAGTCTCAGAGCTGGTCAATAGATCAGATTCAGGAAGCTATGTTTATGGATATCTCTAGCATGCAGAGCTGTCCAACATTTGGACACTGCCTCATGGGTAAGCTGGGCAATGCTTCCATCAGGTCGTGTCAAGTTCACTTCAATCACTCATCTATGGTTCATGTGGATCCAGCGAACCTGATGTTGATAGTTAACAGATGGTGCACTAATACAATAATTGCCTGTGCTTGAGACCCATATGTGTTTGGACAGTGATGGCCTTTAAGACTGAACATATAGATTTGAGGTTCTGAACTGCACAGAATCTTTGGCCTCATCCAAAAGGAAAAGAAGCAGGTCTCATCTGTCTGTGTCCAAGAAAATATGCAGTCACAACTATTTACATTGTAGTTTCGACCTCTGGATTGCAGGCTATGACTAGCCAAGGGGACAACATTTCTATTATTATACATCAATGCAACTTCAGAGAAGAGACAACAACCCATTTCTTGAAAGCTTTACATCAACAATGTTAATGGATTCAATCAATGCTGCAAGTCATTCAGCGATCTTCAAGTTCCTCCTAGTAGGCAAGAGCAGCTCAATTACACACACAAACAGTAATTAGCCAACACAACATACAAACAGCAATCTTTATTTTAGTAAAAATCCTGATGTAAATCCTGTACTGTGTTATTTGTTCCATCTTATATAGACTCCAAAAGAGATTTCTCCATAGTGTTTCGTGCATGATTTCTCCATCTGCATTCCAGCAAGCAAATCACACTCACCACCTGCATGCTAATGTATAAAATATGTCAAAAGAAAAAAAAAAAGATACCAAATTTGGATGAGTTAGCAGCAATACCCATATGCAACTCCAACCACAAAACAATGAGCTGATATTGGAAACTTTTGAGCATAGGGTGATCGGAAAAACCTGTCCCCAACTGTGCTCAACATGAACGGATTGTAATGTAACCCCCCACCAATCCAATCTGTAGAATCCATTTTTAGAACGGATCACAGTTACCACTGCTTTGCGATGCTATTTTCTCTGTATCACGTACGCTGAGAAATGGCTACACTTTGCTCAGCGCTGCTTTTACCGGGAGCAGACGACGCGCGAGGCATCCCAAACATTTACCAACTTTTCCAGCCTTTCGAGAATCGAATCCAACAACTTTACTTTAGCATTCCTCAGTCTGCGGTGTACTCCATCGCACTCGGTGGGTTCTGTGAACTGGGAAGGAACTGATGCTGTTTAAGATGCACAGTCCATTGCCACAAGCATCTGCACATATGTCGACGCACCAAGCTACCATCCACATGCAAACGAAACACCTTTCTCGACTCCCTAAACTTTTTATACATCCAACAAAAGTCACTGATAAGGAGCAGAAGACATGGTAATTGAACACACGAAGGAAGAGAAGAGACGACGAGATCGATCCTAAACAGTGGTCCCAAGCGAGAGAACAACGAAGAACCAGCGGTTCGCCGGCGAGTCGCGTGCGCAGAGTGTGAGCCTATCGGTGCCAGTGAACCGGGTTTATTTCTTTCCGCACTCGGGCGGTTGGGTCGCGAACCGGCCCGGGTCGCTGCAGTAGTCGTAGACCAGGTGATTGGCCCGGGCCCAGATGAGCTGGTGGCTCTGGTGCACGCTCAGCGCTTCCATCTCCTTCTCCTTCCACCAGTAGCGCCCCTCCTTCCCCCACGCGCTGGCGCTGCAGCGCTGCAGCTCCGCCGGACCCGCCGCCGTGGGGGCCCACTCGCAGCCGTCGATGCGGAGGCCGCGGAAGGTGGCCACGAAGGGGGCGTGGGACCAGTCGGTCTTGACGCGGCCGCCCTCGGTGGCCCAGTCGTCGGCGTTCCAGATAGAGCTGTAGACCCCCATGGGCTGATCGCGGGGGAAGACGATGCCGCGGTGCTCCTGGTTGGAGAACACCCGGACGGGAGTATCGTCGACGAGGAAGACCACCTGCCGCGGGTTCCACAGGACGGAGTAGGCGTGGAAATCGGCTGTGGGGTCGAACCACAGGTCCATGCGCTGCTCCCGGTTGCCCACCCCGTTGATGTACAGGTTGGTCTGCACCAGGTACGGCTCTCCCGTCCTGTTCCCCAGGAACTCGAAGTCGAACTCGTTGTGACTCGCCCCATCCGACGACATCTGCGCAGTGGTGTCACACCGATTCACCACGCAAGCACTAGAAGCAGCAAGGGAGACATGTAGAGGGAGAAATCATACGTAGAAGGCAGTGACAGTCCCCGCGGAGTCGCCTTCCACCAGCTTCAGCTCGGCGGTGACCTTGCCGTAGAGATACTTGCTCTTGGAGGCGAATCCAGCTCCTGAAACCATTATAAGAAAAGCCACCACCGCGGCATTGTTTCAGCAAGCTGCAAACAAGCAAGCAAGTCCGGGAAGAAGCACAGGATGCTTCGAAACGTACCGGAGGAGTTGTCGAGCTTGAGCTTAAGAAGCTCCCCTTCGTAAATGATATGGTCCGTCGCCCAGCTCGGCTGCACGAGCTCGTCAAACTTCGAACAGGACACTCCCACAGCGGAGGCCGCGACGCATAGCACCATTACCATCCGCCACACACCTCTAACCTCCATTGGAGATCAAGGGGAAACCGAGAAGAAGAACAGCGGGAGCGATCGACGATAGTAGACAGTGGAGAGTAAAGCTTGCTGTAGTAAGCTTCTTGTAGCGGAGCTCCTCTTTTATAGCCCGCTCCCATTGGCTTGAGGGGGACGCCAGCGTTGCCACATAGGACGATTTATTTGTGGGGTCATGTGAACTAGGAGGCCACGTCGGCGGACTAGCCGTTAATCCGAGCTGGGCCCCTGCATGTCACGTCGTTGTCACCTTAAAAGCGCGAAGTCGACGGTTCCGCCAATTGCCTCACTACGCGTGTCGAACGCCAGCTGTGCACTCTGACGCCCGCGAGCTTTCAAAAGCAAAGGCGTGAGCGGCTTTATTGCGCGTATTTCCCGAACACGCATGCTCAAATTCACCCGACGAGAAAGCTCCTGACTCGCTTGTGGGTCCCCGTCCTTCCATATCCTCTGTCGAAGAAGGGTGAGGTGTCGGGTGGCTTCCGGCAGTGCTTCCTCGGAGGGTGTCGATTTGCTGACGTCGTCGGACAGCTGTCGCGTCTCCAATTATGACTGGTTCGCCAGAAAAGACTCGAATTTTACCCACACCCCATCGTTTTCCACCTCGCCATGTGGGGCCTTCGTGTACAAGGAAACGTCGAGGGGCACCAGGAGCCGTCGGATGGGTTGTCGGACGGCCATGATTCGATGGCTTTGGCCACAAGAAAGGGAAAAGGAATGGATAGTAAAGGAAATGAGTGCGCCGTGTGACGGTGACAGGACGTGGGTGTTGCCTGTTGGTTTAACTGCGTAGCGTCATGATTGGGGGTTTCTGTTTCTGTAGTTGTTTTTGTTTCCGTTTTTGTTTTCTGGTGTGTGTTGTACGCATCCCCTTTTGTTTTTTGTTGCGCCAAACAAATGGATGTGTTTGGTGGTACGGCGACAACTGGCACAAACGATTCGAACTTTGTATGTACGTGGCCTCCGACTTCGGCTTGGAAGCAGAAGTGTTTTGCCGGATTTAAATTTCGAAACACTTCAGTAATAACAGAAACGGGCGATCTTTATTCCGTAAAAAATTATATTTATATCCTTATGATTAAGAAAGAGAAATGATTATATTTATTTATCCTAATAATATCAATTTTTATAGATAAAAATAAAAAGTAAAAAAAGAATTTTAAGTTTCATGGTGGACAACGTCAATGGCGGACAACAATGTCACTGATGTCAGTGGTGACGGACGGTGGTGCCACTGACGTTAGTGGCGACGAACCCCTCACCCTCCCCCCTTGTCTCCAACATTGAGCAACTGCCACCCTCCACCTCCTCGACCACTCCTCGTCGATACCCCCTTCGCCTCCCCGCTCGTCCTCCCCTTCTCCTTCTCCACCCTTGCCCTCGGCGTCGAGCACGTTTGCCACTTTTCCCATGGCAACTTCATCACCGCCCTCATCCACGCCCTCTCCTCCCTCCGCCTCATCATCGTCTCCCAGTCTCGATCCCATAGCTATAACATCCTTGACGAGTACCTTGCCAGCGATGAAATGATCTCCTTGAATAGTGCCAAATTGCGTTGTAGTAGGTTCAGTCACATCTCCCTCGAGATCTGTCGAGCGCCAACTATGATAATGCAGATGTTTGAGTTCGTTGTTACTGCGTAGTCCAGAGACGCTGGGATCTGGGTGCATAGGAGAAAGGCTATGGCATGCTGTAGGTCCAGCATCTCCCCTTGCAACTTGTCGGGTTTGGCATCCACAAGCGCCATCTTGTCTGTCAAGATCGTATGGGCGATGGCCATGCCCATGTTCCTAGCACTGATCACGGATATCTTGGTGTGATGCTAAGTGGGAGGCGACGGCATTGCTTGTTTGATGGGGCAAAACAAGGTCCTATGTATGTCATCGGCGAATCCGAGCTCTAAGAGAGATGACGCCTTCATATTCTCAGGCCAAAGCTATGAATAGGATAATAGAAGAATATAGTTAGGGATTTTCGCTTGGAAGTTGTCAGGGTTTTTGCCCAATAGGGTGATCGAGTCAGGGACCAACTACAACTCCTCACATTTCTAGCTCCTGCTCACCGATCACTTAGAAGTCAATGCTCAAGATGTCTAGGTAGGCAAAGAACTCATCGACATTCCATCCATCCAACAGCATTAGCTACCACCACATGAACGACTTTGTACAGCAATAAAGAGATTGATTCCGTGGCCCCGGGAATTTCTGCCACTCTAAGAGCATTCTACTTCTTTATGGTGAGCTTGGAGACAATCACCGCAGCCGACACCTCCTCGGTTAGAGTCAATTCAACATCTCGATGAGCCTCTTGATGACCAGAGTGCACATGCTGATCTTACGCAGGGTGACATCAATGAAGCGATGGTTGGTAGAGAACTTGAATAGGATGCGGGGAATGCCAAGGTTGACGACGAGGTGGTGGGTCCAACCGATGAAGAAGTTGGAGAGGAGGGTGAAGGGAGGGCAAGTGTAGGAACGAGACTAGGAGACGATGGTGGGGCTGAGGGAGGAGAGGGTAACGACAGAGTTACCATGGGAAAGGTAGCAGACATGCTCGACGCTGGGGTTAAGGGTGGAGAAGGAGAAGGGGAGGCCGAAGGGATAGTAGCGAGGAAGTGGTTGAGGAGGCGGAGGGCAGTGGCCACTCAACATCGAGGATGAGGTGGGAGGGTGAGGGGTTTGCCACCACCGATGCCAACGGCTTCATCGTCCATCACCATCAACATCATCCATTATCGAACTTCAAATTATCTTTTTACCTTTTATTTTCATATTTTCGTCGATAAAAACTAATGTAGTTAGGGTAAATGGACATAAACGTTTCACTTTCATAATTAAAGGGATACCAATATAATTTTTTAAAGTATAAAGATCGGGGTGCTAAAGACAGCTAACTACATGTGACAATTTGTAGTTGGCCCAATAGAAATCGATTCTACACATCAATAAATTTTCTTTACTAATGTTTTAAAAGAACTTCACTGTCACCATGAGTACACATTAATTATATTTATTTATAATTTTTATTAAGATCTTTTTTACTATGACATCTAGAGGTCTGCTAAGCACATGCATATATCATCTTAAGTGATTTTTAATTTTATTTTTTATTGAAGCGATACATAATTATTTATGAATAAAAATATTTTTTCCAATAACTTCACACATCCATGTCAACATTTTCATATTGACAATAAAAATATTTTGTATATATTATTTTTTACCTATCAATAAAGTATTATTATCCCATAAATATCTTATAAATTGTTTCTCTTAGTCTCAAAGTATTTAATAACCACACAAGACTTCTAACACCCATTATCATTTTAACCATCTTATTATTTTACTTTATAAATAATATCTTTATTAATCTCTTCATCTTGTTTAATAATTGATTCAAGATACCTAAGGCTTTTTTACTTAAAGAGATCTCTTATCTATTTTTATAGTCACTAAAATTATATTTTATATATTTAATTTTCATCATACTTAATCTAAAGCTTTTAATTTCTAAGACTTGCATCAATACCTCAAGTTTATAATTAATTTAACTTAAACTTCAATCACCTAAGATAATATCATTACAAATAATATATATTAGAGAAGTTTATCATGTAAGCGACTAGTGAATTCAATGTGAAAAGGTAATACTTAATGTGGATCATTAATTTAATCATATGCTAATAGAAAACTCACTGTATATACTCCTTATAGTTCTAACACTAGTTCTAATCTAATATATATATGAAAGAAGTTGATGGATAGAGATGAAAGACAAACTCTTGCAAAGGCAAGAGTAAGATATGTTGGACATAAAGGCAAGAGCGTGGATATAAACTCCACACCAGAGTTAAGAGTTATTAGTGAGTTTAAGTAACATAGATCAAAGTTTGACTACTCATCAATAATACATAAAGAGCAATTGAGAGTCAAGAGACATGCTGTAACTAGAGCAAAAGATCGAAGATTCATCAAAGTGAGGAGAAGCATCCGTAAAAGCTTCGATGTGATGCTCGTACATGTTTATGTCTTTCGATTTTATTCATATTTTACACAATATATATAAGGCTTTCAGTAAGCTTGACGATTCGATTTTGATTGATTTTTATAGTCATTTTTTAATTATAAATATAAGTTACGTATAGTCATCGCATAGAGGTAATATACTAGTATTTCTTTGGTACTTGAACGAACGAAGTATTTAATATTTATTAACTTAAATATCGAAGAAACTTTATTGAAGATACCTTCAATATAAATATTGAAAGAGTAAGAGCTGAATCCCCCATCTTTCTAACACATCAACCATGTACATATTAAATAATCAAAAATATTTTACATATTAAATTCAAAAATATTCTAGTTATAAAACCATGTACATATTAAATAATCAAAATCTATAATAATGGATATATTATATATATACGTGATCAAAGGTCACCACTAATTATATTTAAACAAAGTTGGGAAGACCCGAATGTTGACAAAAGAATCCCACTTGCTGCCATATTTCCTTTCGTTGCTATTTAATAACCTAAACAACGTTTTGCAAGCATTACTCTCTGCTCATAATGATCACACCACCATCTCTTAAACAACAGCCTAGTTAGGGGAAGGACAGCAGCGTCACAGACCCTATAGTCGTCTTCCTCGTTTTCCTAGACTAACCAGTACAGAAATAAATTAATATCTTCTTTACGACCTTTTAATGAGCAATTATGTATGCTTTGGTAAACTTGGTTGGTGTCAGTGCTCGGTGCAAAGCGACTCCATCGGTCCGAAGGCCAAAAGCCAGTGTTGCTTTCTACGGCGGACAATGCAATGACGTTTCGGCATTATGAAATGAAATGCTGCTATGTAGACCCACGTGCGCCTCCCACGAGACCACATACATCATCATCATCATGTGGATAGATAGATAGATGTCCGAGAAAGCACGGGAAACCCCACGACGCTTGCACGTTGCATCAGTTTTCGTGAAACGAGATCCGACAAGTCATTTGAACTAAATGACTCTTTTGCCCTCCTCTCACCATCGCCGACGGAAGGGTCCCACCGCGGACACCACGAAGTCAACGACAGCGGTTCACCACGTTCTTCTATATAGAACACCGATGTCGAAGAAGGTGGCGTCGGATGGGATGCTGCTACGCACTCCGGAGGTGTAGAGAGAGACAGCGAGGCGGTTCCGAGGGGGCCAGGCTGGCACCCCCCGACAGCGGCCGCAGGCTCTCCGGGGACAGCGACACCGTCCCCACCAACGGAGACGATTAAGACCGAGGCCAGAAACCAGGAACGCTAATATGTAAACAATGATCGAGGGACGAAGGAAAGGACTGTTGGGTGAGGAGACGTCGAGCATGCGCGGGGTTGGCATCCACCTCCCTGCCGGGTGACGACGACGGGCACGGGGGCCCATCCGGAGACGACGACAGCAGGACGGTACGGACCTCCCGTGTCTCCGGCTCCAAGCCCCAGCCATTTCCTTGTTCTTTGTGCTTCGTCTCCCGATGCGCGGATGGTGTTTGCTGCTTTGCCGGGTGGGTTGTCCCACCTTGCGTTCGCCTTTGGCTCTTCTCTCTCTCTCTCTCTCTCTCTCTATATATATATATATATAAATCTCTCTATGTTGTTTAACGTTGAGATTAAAGTTGGACAGCCTGGAAAGAAGGAGAGAGAGAGAGGAATGAGGAGGACATTAGTTTTGGAGCTTTAGAAACCGATGATCCCGAATTCCAAAGTAGAAGAAAAAGGCCAAATCGTTAAAAGAATCAATCATATTTGTAAAGACTTTAACCAATGATGGAAGCAATCTCAGTGACTATTATGGCTAAACAAAATTCAAAGGACCATCGTATGACAGGAATTATTAACTGGAAAATATAAACCACCGTCAACGAGAGAAAATCTATCATCAATTTATCCAGTAGTAGCAGTAAGCTCCAACGAGATCAGTCCTGTGAATCTCTAAGCTGCTAATTTTTCAGTTATAGCAAAATAAACAGGCGATTGGTTACTTAAGCTATAACTATTTTTAAATATACAATAATTGTTACATTAAGAAAGTGAATTCTTTAATCAGTTTATCTCGGTGAGTTACACTAGAAAACAAATTTTAGCTCAACTCTCGTCCGGTTCAAATCATAACCAGCTTGCCTTATTACTGTTAGATCCATGAATACCATCATCATGTATGTATATTCCACTTTCTTTGTATGATAGCGAGAGTGTACCAGAGTCTTGTTATGTCCCCCATCTGCCAAAAGAAACTTAGGGATCATGTGAGCCACCAATGAACTCAACGTCATCCTCTGATAAGAACATCTTTCCTCTATTTGTGTTGTTGTTCCTCCCACTTAAATTAGGTTGACCTCTCTGCAAAACAAGATAACCTTATGACGTCCACAGTAAACAAAGGGTGAAAAGAAAGTCATAGGAGACTGGTGTGCTTCTTCGTTACCTTCCTCAACACGAATGCCAAATAAAGGTAAGCTACATCCCACTCGTCCTGAGATAGTGTGCCTGCATTTTTCGACACTTGGGTGAGTGCCATCATCATCATCATCAGGGGGACCGACAAGGTCATCGAACAAAAGAGCTTACTTTGATCCTGATTTCCATCACCTAGAGCACCAAGTCTCCGCATGAGATCTGTAAACTCGGGCCTCCGTAAGTACTCGTTAACAAACTCATGTGAGTTTTTTACAAATACGAGCTCCAGATCATACTGTGAAGCCCCAAAAAAGAACAAAGATTTTGAGAATCAGCCACAAAGAACAAGATCAGATTTGCATGATGGGTGTGTTATAAAAGATCACGAATGCCTAAAGAACCTGTCATCGCCAGACAGGAACATAGTTGAACAAAATTCCAATTAGTAATTGATGGAGACAAATCAAACACATAATAGTAGAACTACAGGCAGGAAACAAAAATATGGAATGCTATTCCGCATACACGTAAATTGAACCACATCTTCACCTATCACCTCCTATTCCTTACTACCGGGATCCTATTTCTCGTTTGTCAACCAAAGAAAGAAGGAAATGTATCTTCACAGAAAGACTAAGTTGATACCACATAAATGAACGTGTGGTGTAGAGTCCTAAAGCATAGACAGGCATAAAGTAGAACAAATAAAAACAGAGTAACCACATTATTCTTTGGCAAAAATTAACAAGACCCATGAAGTAGGCATAACTTTTGGATGGACTAACTGCCAATAAGAACAGGCACCAAAGAAAAGTATCCTTTCTCTTTATGACGGTAATAGGTCCTGAATGTTAAACTTGTACAAAGAATAAATTAGACAACAATAAACAACGAGCTAAGAACAAAAAATCAGTGGCAGTGATCCTATGAAAATATTCCAGCTTAAGAATATGGAAGTTTGTACCATAAAATACAGAAAAAATATTGATATTATATGATCAGAAAACCACAAACTAAAAACAAATGATCAACAGAGTGGATGACAAGATAGAACTCGTATAAATGAACTCAATGTATATTTTTCCAATAGACAACTGACCAGGTTCTGTAAGGAGGATAAACCAGTACCTCCTGTGCTAAGGATTTGAAGACATGAAATGGCACAATCCACTCAGGACAATCAACAGCATCCTGCATGCCACTTAAATCAGTTAGGTAATATGAGCAGTTTCCGGTCAAGACCTGCACACTTGAATATCAAAATGACTAAAACTTCTGAAAACAATTTATTTCAAAAATGTTGACTATAAATAAGCTGATTAAATTACAAAACAGAAAAAACCAAATGAATAACATATGTAGTTAACAGAGGAAACCAGCAGATCTAGCTATCACACAGTTGTCAGGTGTAGTTTGTTGACATTACATGATCACCATTCACAACCATACAGACATTGAATTACACACCACCTTTTAGTCAGCTTGCAGTTCTTTACAGTAACATGTTAAACAATTCAATTAGACTAACACTATTGACCCTGTATATCCAGATCATCCATAGATGAACAATATGTCAAAAAAGAGCAGCTTTTAACCCCAGGGCCATGATATTTAGTAATGAAATAAATCAGAAAGGTTTAAATAGAAAATCTAGTAATTGCAAGTTTCAAGGCCTCAAATATTTCAAGGGCTCATGTTTCAAGGCTTGGTTTGTTAATTATAAATGCACATTGGAGCAGAACACAATCCAATCAAACATCTATGAAGAGTGTGGGGGGGGGAGGAGGCGGAGGGAGAGACTTCTGGTGTTGCTTATTACCTCTAGATGAAACTTGTACTTGATTCCAAAAGGGCTGGATGACTTGAACTTCTGAATGAACACAGAGAAGCAAAAGTTTTAAATGTTCACTAACAGTTACTAGAAAAAATCTCAACAAAAGATTAAAACTAGAGTAAATTTTGCTGACCTTGGAAGAATATTCTTCATCAAAGCATATCCAATAAACACTGTTCCCAAATTCTAATCCTTCAGCTGCATATAACAGAACGTGTAATAAACAATAAATAGCATTTCCAAGAGAATAACACACTTATTTCACCTCCGTGCAGATAAAAGCCAGGTAAGAATCATGGGAATGCCACTGAGCTACTGTTTAAGATGTGGCATTCGTGCTCTTGTATGTGACTTCTACAAAAATGTTTGTGTAAATCCTTATTATCAAAATATATTAATTGACAAAATAAAATTGTGCTTCAAGATGAAGACTAGCTTATTGAACTCATGCTACCATGCCATAGTTAACCAAAGACAACTTTGAATCCAAAATAGAAATGAAAGTATAAACACTTTAAAAAACCAAAAAATGAGCTTCAGCCATCAAGTTTTGGCTAAACTAGCACAACAAGTTCATGATATCATTTGCGCCACCAACACCGCAAGCAACTTAAATTGGAATACAATTCTATTGACTGGAAGAAAACCTAAATATGAATATAATATGTAACAAATGGAAAAGGAAAAAGGGTATCTTAACTTCATCTCTTTCAGAATGAATTTTAAGTATGCAGGCTGCATGGCATCATACAAATACTCAAAGCTAAAATTTGCAAACTGTTTCCAATAGCTAAAAAAGTAATTTCCCGATGATGCAAGCCATCGGGGTTTTTCACTCCCAATATAGAAACTCAATTCAAAATAATTAAATTCCTGAACTTCCAAATGACTCATTATAGATCTGCTTTCTGTTTTTAAAAAGACAAATTTATTGGAACAAACTTTTTAAAAGCTTTTTAAAATGATGTACCCAGTGCACCATGCAGGGTTTGGGAAGGGTGAATGTACACAGCATTCCTCTAAATATAGAGACCAGTGACTGAAACCCTGAAGTCCCAAATCACAAAGGAGTAACCTTGTCGTTGCATCAAGGCTCACCCTCAAACTCTTTAAAAGAAGGCATGGTGAAATTTACAAGTAATCACTTTAACCTAAACAATAATAAAAGGAACTAGCTTAAGCATCAGCTTAACATGCCTTACAAGTTGTTCCAGCAAAATTTATAACCCCGACTGCAACAAAACCAAATGAAAGGAGTAAAGAAAACTACAAAAGGTAACAAAAGTATCTTGAGAAGCCAAATATTTTCCTATGAAATTGAAGGTACTAAACCATGAATACCTTCCCTAAGCCTTTTGATAATGACATTTGCATCAGGCATTGTCCCAATAAATGTGCCTCCAGGCTGAAGCAATGCAGATACATTTGCCAAGGCTTGCCTTGCACGCGCTTCAGTTGACCATGAATAGTGTAAAGCAAACTGTAAATTGACATAGGTTGTAAAAACTAAAAAACATTCAATAATGTGATATAAGCAACTTCTTGCCACACAGAAACAATGAACTTTCACTTATGGGTCATATGCAACAAAGCACGATTGAACAATATCACAATATTTGTGTGTCAAGGACATTAGAAGTCAGGTTTATCACAAAAACTCATGCTGCTCTCTGTATAAATCAGACAAATCACCTGACAGCTGCAAACATCAAATGGTGCATCATCATGCAAATACTTGTCCAAACGAACCTGAAACAGAATGAATAAAAGTGACTTGATCATCATAAAATATATTTTCTCTGAGTTCTCATACATTGAGATCAAAAGGTGAATAGTAATCAGTCTCTCAAGTTGAATTGCAGCAGGAAAAGAATCTAAGCTAAAAATGTATTTCTTCTGTAACTGCTAGAAAGAAAGAATGAGGTAATTCTAATATAATGATACAATAGTTGCATATACATGGTAGTTGACAAGAAAACCAAACCTAGTTCAACCTAAGAACTTTCAGATGCCGAAAAAGTGGAAAACTTACAAATATTAGAGCAGGAATGCAAAAATGTTGAAACAGTTGACCTCAACAACTTTCATAATCACTAACTAAGAGAGGGGAAAAACTTCATTACTTCATAAAAGTCAGCACAAATAAGGCGTGCAGGGAAACTGAACTTCTTCCTGCGTTGTTGCTGGTCTGAGTCTCCATTATAGCGAGTCCGACAGTCTTTTATCTAAACATACCGTAGAGCAAATATTATTTAGGTTATCATGTGAAATTCAATGAACATCTGCAAGAATTAAATAAAATATGATGGTAAGGTTTATATTGCACAAATACTCGCCACAAAAACTGTTTTATGGAGAGTTAATGGTAAGAATAAAATAGACCATCATATAGGTTCAGACATGTCTAAAGAACATAATAAATGTTCCAGCACAACAAGGAAAGTCAATCGAGATAAGAGAACAACAATAAAAGAAGAGTAAGACCAAAAAAATTTATCTAGAAATAAAAGAGAGAAGATGATGTTCACATTTCAAGGTCTATCTAGAACCATTTACTCAATGGACTACATCACAAGAAACCATGTTGCAAATTGCAAATAGTACAACATAATTCTTTTTCATAATTCAAAATGGAATGATATATCTTGCTTGGGAAACCAAAAAAAAAAGTTGCATAAAGTGAAAAAAAATGGTCTTTTGCTGACTACCTAACCTCAAAAAACCAACCATAAGAAAATGAAATCAAATATCACTTTACAAGTTTAAAAAATATGAGAACTATTGGTACTATGTGCAGCTTATGGTGCATGTTCAAATAACAGATCACTTATATATGCCACCCCTTATTCATCTTATCAGACCTTAGGTTCAGTCATTGATATTTGGTGCATAGCAGTTTATCTTGGCAATCAAAATCATATAGACTTCCCATGAGTTTCAACCACTACATATGCTTATGATGAAACCAACTTATTACAAGTGATGGAAGATCTATTATAATGAACAACTGATCAATGAAGAAAGACATACATGAGCATGTATGAGAAACAAAGATGTGAAGCGCTATACTGTCCAGCAGATCGAGGATTCAATCCTATCAGTTCAAAACCAAAAATGAAAGGTCAAACTTAGGATCAATACTGTTGGACAAGATCTACAATCTTTAAAAGCTGAGGAAAAGATCCTGTGTTGAAGTTATCTATCTTAATATCTGATAGTCAGAGGAATGCAACCAAATAAGAAGCTTTGATGGTACATAACATACTTTGATTTGAATTTTTGTTCATTTTTTGTATGCATGCATGTATAAGAAATATATAAAAATCAGTGGTTAAATTGCTTGATTTGAATAGCTCCAAAACACACTATTGCATAGCCTTTTGCAAGTCACCTTGTGTAGGAATATAAACATGCAAAAGGTTCTCAAATTGCATGATTTTTTTCCAAGTTCTTTTAAATGTTACAGTAACATGTTGAATGGAGTTGATCTTCAAGTGGGAAATACAATGTTTCAGTTTGACCAAATAGATCTGGGGTATGATTTTTTTCCCATTGGATACCAGCTCAAATCACTTCTTCTCCCAAAAGCATGCACCAAATTTACTCTTTAAACATGGGATAATGACAAATACTCTAATTTGCAATTTATTTCCTATTTCTTCAGAAGAACTTGGATCCAAACGGCATGATAATTAAGACAAACATTTCCTTAGTACACTCGAGGAACTCCAGTACAAGAGAGTTCATCACTTTCAAATGTAGGAATTGGTACTAATAGAGTATGGAGAATTTCTATTATAAAATAGAAACCTATATAAGGGGAGGCATTTACCGAGCCTTCTGCTATATCCACGCCCACGTAATATCCAATTCTTGCCTTGTCCCATTTGATCAAGTCACCACCCTTAAAGAACAAATGACAGGACAAATTTGTTTAAAATCAATAAAAATACTATGGAAACACTGTAGAATTAGGACAATAGTAAAAGTTGACTAAATAATCTTGTAACTAACTATGAGCAAAGAACCAGCCAAAATAGTGGATAGATGAAACCTGATCAAGCGGAGTACTCTTAGTATAGTAACGATGTAGGAACTCTCCAAAATATACATATTACTAACCTTCCCACAAGCAATATCGAGCACAGCATCTTTTGGGTGAGCATACAGCTGAATGAGTACGCTTTTTATCTGTTCATCAAACACAAAGAAGAAAAATCAGATACAGCAGACATAGATCATTGAAGTGGAGACTTACACATGAAAGTCAAGCAAGAAAATAAGCTGCCAAGGAGATGTATTGTTAACTGAATGGCCGATCAGAAAAATGCTCGACCATGTCTGTCATCGTACGAGAAAACTAAACCAAAAGGTGAAGTCATACTCACAGCTACTCTGAGACATGCATTTTGCGGCCAAGCGGTAATGTACATATCATTCATCATATATCTTCATCCTATATGTCCTTTATTTTAGCAGTAAAACACAGTTTAGGCTATAGAAGATGTTAAAAACAAAAATCTGATAGTATTTAAACATTCTGGGTAAATGGAGTGCTTCTTGATATCAGACACCAAATCTGAGATCTTTCCACCAAATGCTCAGATACGACTGCATCGACCCAACTTTAAAGACACCAAAGGACGCATCGATACCAAACAATCAGCTGCTAGACACAATATTTCCATCAGAAATTCTTCTCTCGACCATCATGGAATTAGGTAGGCAGTCCAAAAGTGCGATAAATTCAACCCTAAAACCTACTCCTAATTCGATGAACCAAAGATCTACAAGAACAAGAACGGTATCAACGAAAAAGAGGCAACAGCGAGAGCACTCCAATGGATAGAAGATGAGACGAGTAAAGAAGGAAATTACGGCGCACCCAATTGTTGAGCTTCTTCAAGTGGATGATGGGGCTAGCCTCCCGCTCCTCCAGCGTCTGATTCGACCTCGCACTGTAATGATCGGCCACCCTGCGCGCATTATCGAAGCTCTCGTCCTCCGAAGCCCGCGATCCGTCTTCGATCGAAGGAGCAAGAAACAGTCAAGAACCCTAGTTTGCCCGAAAAATGATAGCAACAAAATTGGGGACGACTAGGGGGGGAGAAGGATCGAATCCAGAGAAGAGAAGGCAAGAGAATTAGAGTCGAGAAGTACCGTAGGAATCGTATCTGAGCTTGGATTTGGGCGGCCCGAAGGAAGTAGAGGGGGTTCCTTCGTACCCCCGCTTCATGCCTCCGCTAATAGAAGAAAAGGGGAGGAGATGTCCCGACCGAGGGGGGGATGGGAGGCGCTTCAAATGCGCTTATAAGTGATGCTACAGACACGCGGCGAAAGCACACGTTCGATTGATACGCATTATTGTACTCGTTGGGGGCCCCTCGTTCAAACGCCTCTCGAGCGTTGTCATCTAACTATTTTTATTCTCTATGATGCTTTAGCCTATCTACTGTGTGATTGAAGGAATCGTAACCGTTCATCCAACCATATATCAGACGGACGGACGGTCGATGGATGTAGATTATCGAAGCCAAACCATTTACTAATAAGGAAAATGATAAGGGCGATTAATTAGGAAAATATCACATTACTCCATGTTTTTAAAATCTCAAAAATACTCTCCAAAGAAATGTTCACAGTGTTTAGTGTTTTCCCAAAGAAATCCAAAAAGTTTTCCTAGCAATTGTTTATAGTGTTTTGTGAATTAATTTTTATCCATAGAACACTATAGTGGTTTTTTTTTAATTAAAAAAAACACTATATAGTGTTTTTGTTTCAATAATACAATGACATCAAAAACAAAACACTCAACAGTTGATGGAAAAAAATTTTAGATTTAGGCAGGAAAAAAATGATAACTTTTTTAAAGAACATTTTTGAAACATTAGAAATAGGAGATGATGATTTGAGAATTTTAAAAAGGAGGAATCATTTATGAAAGAATAACTTTGGTTATCAAATGATTAAACAAAGGGATCAATTCATGGAAAATTTTAAAATGTATGCTTTTGTTAATACCCCCCTTCAATTCTTTTTACATGTTATGATATGAGAATATTAATATTATTTTAAGTATTTTAAAATATTTATAAGTTAGTATTGATTAACCTGAAGATTTCTTTTTTGGATAGAGATGTAGATGCAAAAGAGTTTAGAATTTGGAGGGCCTTATATGCCATACTAATTTTATTTGAGAAAATATACTACTTGCTTACTTTGCAAACTTATGATGCTTAAAAAGCCCTTATTCATATCACAAATAGCTCAAGAATAAGCCAAATGATTGTTTTTGTTCTATTTAACCCAAATCTGATTGAACCAAAATGATTATTAAACTACTAACTGAAATCTGATATGAATTTATGAGTCACAGAAACATATTATGAATGAGCCACCCATATATAATTTAGACAGTATGAATTATTATCGCGTACTAGGATAAAAAAATGAAGGATCACAATAACCACAAATAGATCTCCTTTTACTCCATTTGTCAAAAAAGATTCAGTAAACTCATTGTCTGATCAGTTGCTTGCAGAGAATTGCTCTTTATTACCTTCTTGCAGAGGTTTCCAAAACATACCCACTAGGGATTGTTCTTGAGAAGAGAGGCCAACTGGTTTTAGGACCAAGTACAAGTTTGGTGCTTGGAGGTGCATGGTAGTGGCAAAATGAACATTAAACCTCCTATTAAAGCTCAAAATGTAACTCACTTGAACTCATGGTGCAATAATTTCTTCTCCTATCACTTCGGCTTGTCAAAAACTTTTGGCACAACCTATGGTCAAAAAATAGAAACTTCAGCTGATACACATTTGTCGCTCTGTCCTACAAGAAGAATGAAACCTGAGGCAGAATACTTACACAGTTGTCGATACACATCCAGTAATCAAAATATTGCCCGGTACAATGCTTATGCCCAGTCTCATCTTCTTTGATTCTCTCAACACATGGCTGCATGGATTAAGCATGCTTGTTGAAGTCAGTTCTATGACATTAATAAATAGTTGTTGGAGAAACAAATAATACACAACAGAGACAATCGATGAGGATAAATAATCACCGACTAATGGTGCTCTAACAAACTTCAGCACTATGGACCTGTAACCTCGTAAAGTTCCTCATCTTAACTGTCGGTACTTGGATCACGGCTCCAATTTGCCTAATGCAATTTTATTCATGAAACACAGCAGATGGAAAATGGCACAAAAGCATGTATGTGGCAAGTAATCATTCTTTAAAAACAATAACAACAATTAAATCCGAAAGCAGTCTCTTGACAACCTTCAATCTGAACCAACAATTAATTATCAAAATATTTTGCTCTAGGGTCTCATTAAGCTTGCAACTCTAGGGACTTCATACAATTGTTGTCTCAAAGACGTCTTTGATAAACCAAATAGAAGAATACTTGGCTTAGAAACCATATATTGCTGTGTGCATGTTATTTATTAGTATTAACTGTTCATTCAAAAGTTGAGGCCACTTGAACTAACAACAATAATATCTAACAGTCTCAAACAAAAATATATATAGTAACACTGACTGGGTACAGAAATGAAACATACAAAGAACAGAATGATAAGAACCTAGTTGTTACCTTGGTAAAATGCTATTTCTGTGAGGTGAAGGGGAGCAACGCCAACCCCATCCCCCAAAAGAAAAGAAGAGAGAGAGAAAGAACTTTCCTAGAAGAACTTTAATAAAAGATCACAAATACATGGAATCTGTTCCTTTTTTCAGTAATTGTCAAAGTTTAACTACACCATAATCAAACAGAAGAATGTCTTCCACTTTCCAATATATTTACTTATAAATCTCACTAGGTGTACAGAAAAATATGAAAAATCAAGAAGCTTTGTAGAAATGTCGCAGAAGTTTTAAATACGTGGTATGCGTGTAAAGGACACACACACTTTGGCTTGCAAGTTTCCTCGAGGTACTGCTTTGTATCAATCGGCTCACGGTCTGACCTAAAATTTAAACAAACAGTAATGTGAAATCTCATGCTCAGAAAATATCTTCTTTGTGCAAAATAATTACTCAGTTCAAAGGCAAAATAAATCACCATTTAGATGTCAAGTGGAAAAATAAATTGTAAATTATTTTGCAGAGTACTAGGAGATTTGATGAATATCAAGAATCAGGTAAATGGCCGGGAGTTGGAATGCCTATATCATTATCCACAATAAGGTTGCTATATGTTCTACATAGAAATTTGTTGCTTCAGTAACGTCAATTGATGGGAGACATCTCTGTTGATCACAAGTAATGGCATAAACATGGAGAGTGACGAGAGTCCCAAACAATCACAATGGTACCTTTCACTAGTAGCAATATCCCGATTATGAATGGAAATTATCAGTGAAACAAAAACTCACATTTTTAATCAGCCAAAGCTGATGTATCAGCCGTGTGCACCCAAAAGAAAATAACTTTCTATCAGAGAATAACCATCAATTGCTATCTTCTCGAGTATATAGCTGATGTTAAATGAGTCATAATTGCGGGCGAAAAAGATCTCGCTTTTCCACTGCGACAACACAATCAACAAACGTAATGCCATTACGGAAATGAATATAAATAAAGAAAACAGTGGACTCGATTCGACGAATTCCGAAAGGAGAGCAGACATATTGTCTAAACAAGCTTGCAAAAATCTCATATCAGATGAAAACAAACATTGCAATACTTTGTAAAAAGAAAAGATCTTTACATCGGCATGACAGCACTCAAATCTGTTAAAACGATGGAAAGAAAGCAAATCCCAGATCGAGAACAAGAAAACCCTAGAAATCGGTCAAACAAACCCCCCACAAGAAAGAACTTACAATGTGTTAATTCGATCCGCAAAAAATGTGCTAACAAAGGATTTGCGTCACTCTACCAGAAGGTCCGCAAAAAAAGATGCCAAGGAAATGGGCCAACGAGAGAACTGATCGAGAATTCAAGAGGTCACCAGCACGGGAGCAGCAGAGTCGGAGAAATCGGCGGCGATATCTTTGGGGAAGGCCGTCTTTTGCATTGAGTGGAAGAGAAGGACCGAACTAAAAATATACACATCTATAGGTAATCCGCACAAAATTGCATATATATCCCTCTACATTTTATGATTTCGCATATACCCCCGATCTAAGTTTAGCATTATCTACCATTCATTTTATTATTATTATTATTATTTGCTAAAACACATACTTCTTGATGAAAAAGAAAAGAAAATAAAATAAATAGCAAAATAATCTTCGATAATGATGGTGATAATTGTGATGTTATCCATGCCGGGATTCACCTAATCAGAAATCATCAAGAACAAGGAGCATCAGATATTTTACCTGATCATGTCCTCAGCTAGCAACTTGCAGAGGTCAAACTCAGTCACTCTGCCTGTGGTGTTCGTTGCTTCCTTCGCTCATATGTTTCTGCAGCAGCAGATGACACTCGGGATCATGGCCAGGCACCAAAACAACAGAATTAATGGCATGACAGTGGCCTCACAGTCACAGGGAACATCAACAGAGCAGAGGAAGAGATGCATGCATCCATAGTAAGCCCTCTTCATGATCGAGACGATGCCTGGCTCGCAGCAACCACACACACCAATGGAGCAAGATTTTTCTGCTTCTTCCGAGTAGAAGATGATGCACAGGTCATTTGGAGCCACCAACGGGGAGGATTCTGTCCACACTGAATGCTTCTGATTGCAACACAGTCTTTGGCTTCTCCAGAGACCGGCTTCGACAGGGCAGTAGAACGAGTGATGGAGAGCTCGGGAGCAGCAGAGTCTTGTGCTGCTGCATCAACTTGTGGATTCCTCGTGTTTGCCGCATAGGTTATCTTTGGTGACACTAAAAGAAAGAGACAAGTTGGGTTCATCAATGATCGTCGATGAAACAAACTATGAACTAATGTGATCCATGAACAAGGGTAATGATACTTTCTGTTGTTTCTCGAGCAAGTTTAGTCATCGGGACAAGCCAAACATGATCCATTATATATCGAGGACCGAAAATTACTGGTGGATTTCTCTTAATCCACCACAAGATCCATTATTTTGGTCTTTTTGCAGTCCGACAGGATCTATATAAAGGCCAATCCACCAACAGAAACCACGCGGTCTTATGTGACTCCTACTGGCATTAATCGTAAATACATTAAATCAGTACCTCTCTCTCTCTCTCTCTCTGTGAAAGGAAGCGGAGGATGAGGCTGGCCGACTTCCTCCAGTGCAGTTGCGGAGCTCCGTGGCCCGAGAAGGCGCTGCCTGAGGCCCGGGCGGCAGGCGCCCCGATCGGACTCCCCGCCGCTCCCCGTGAAGAACGCCGCCGCCGCCGACGCCGCGGTGGGGAAGCCGGGAACGACGCCACGACGACGTGGAGGCCGTCACTCGCGGCGATATCCGAGAACTGCTCCGCGGCGGCGCGGGACGGCAAGACGACCGCCGGCAGGGCGGCCAAGGCAAAGGGCGGCGTCTCCCGTCGGGTTCTTCCTCGCGCTAACAGCGACGATCACCGGTAACCTCCCTCGAAGGCTTCTTCTAGTAACTTGTAGGCCTATTTTTGACTGATAATTACCAAAAACTCGATTTCCTCAGCACAGTGTTTGAAGTGCTGCAGCTAATGGTTGAGCTACAGTTCTCAATCTATTTCATCATCTTCATGTAATCAGAATGATCCTTGTTATTATAATCCCTCACAGGTCAACTACAATGTGATGCAGTCTCACAGTAAATAGTAAATCAAGCAGGAAGGTTTGGATGAAATTTGTTAGATTGACAGTAAATATTTTCTCTTCTTTTGATGCATCCTCATGACAGTTTGTCCTGTTTTCAGGTGCATAGATGTTTCTTCAGTTGTGCCAGCATTTGTTCCCGCAGCATATTTGTTCTAGTGCCCAAGTCAATGTACAAATTGCCATGAAAAAGAAGGAAAAGGAAGATGATGGAAGATAAGAAGATGATGAATGCTCTATGCTTGGTAATTACTTATTCCTATTGGGAATGTATATTTTCTTCTTTCATACTCTTCTCCATACAAAAGCTAAGCATGAAGCAAAACCTGTTGGTATCAGAACATCACCAACTTCAGTGTTGCAGAAATCTGAAAGTTTTCCAACTCTCAACTTCTTAAGCAGTCCAAAGATTTCACTGAAAGCAGTGATGCAGTTCAGAACAAACTAAGCCACAATTGGTGGCAGCTTGATCTTATGTCTGTCTTTTGTTAAAGGAATAAATCTAGACATTGAAAGATGAGCAGATTCAGATGTAACATATTGTGTTATATAGTGATGACTGATGCTCCTTGTCTAATCACTATCTTCAATTTTGTACTATTATTTGAAACTTATTATTTATAGGCTCATGCAGTAATTGACAACACATCAAAAAATAGGCCAACTGGGAACTACAAACTAATAAAGTCAGGGATCCAGGAAAGCAACTTTGGAAGCATAACATAACAGGCCACTCCCTAACCTAAAGAATCAGAAAAATAAGATAGGTTTTGGCAATATTTCCTGTGAGCAGACTGCAGCAAAGCTATAATAAGCAAAAACAGGGTATTGAAGATATCATGTCCAATCATATTTCTTAGGACAGTGCTATTTAGGTGGACAGACTCACCATTCATATTTCTTACGATTAAGTTCCAACTTCCAATCTAGGTTGGTAAGAACAGTTCAATAGATTATGGCTCTGTTTCTAACTTGGACTTCTATATAATAAAAGGGGGCAAAAAATAAATAGGTTAAAACAGAAGTGAAAGTGGTATGAAATTGTCGTTCATCTCTGCAAAACATTAAGTAGCAGTTCTATGGAACAAAGGGTGGGCATGCATACCTGCTTCATGGTATAGGAAGTCTGACATAATCCCTTGCCCCTTTGTGCAAATGCCTCCATTCTGGTCATCGGAAGCAGCACACTTAGCATATCTCAATTTATGCTGCTAAATCCCCGTTTGTAGGCACCCCTTACGGAGGAAGATTGCACTAACCGTTCTTTCAGATGGACCTTATAGATCTACCATTTAGACAGTAGCGCAAGTTGAGGCCAATTCACATGCAGCAACAGTTATTTGTAACGATCAAGGTTATGTGATGAACAAATAGTTGCATTTCAGATACAACCAAAGCTCTAAGAATGAGGCAAACCTAAACTTGACAAAGTGCATGGATTGGAAATCCTCCGCAACAAAAAACCAACCCTCTAAAACAATCATGTTTCATGGGTATCGAAAGCACTGCTGCAAAAAGAAGTATCAGTTCGAATCTCTTCACGGTTTACAGATTACCACGAAACATGGTAGAAGAGCCCGTGCGTTGAGAAGGTAGAGCTCCTCGATACTTGCATAAGGACCTACTTTTCCTGCCACTGAATCAAACCCACACTGACCAGCCAAATTCTGTAATTTATCCATTGGCTTGTGAACCCTCCCGGCAATGACTCTACATATCAGCAAGGCTTTTCTTATGGAAGGGTGATCTTCAAGCACTTGAACCGATTCTAGTGCTCTGCGACTAGTGGAAGTTGTGAACATTCCCAGGCCTCCCTTCATCTCTTTTCTTTTGGAGAATCCATGTCTTAGAATGCGGCAAACATTGCACTTATCTGATGTGCAAAGGTTTGAAGAACCATTTATGCCAAGAGAACAACAGACTGTTGTACCATAGAACCTTAACAGTTCATTTCCGTCAGCCAAGCATCGTGGATGCTTTTTGGGAAGCTTGCTGGCTCTAATCTTTACCATTTCCCGGTATTCTTCGAACTGAGTGAGAGTCTTTTGCATGTTATGGACCTTTAGGACCCGTTCTAGCCGTCCACAACTGCTCTCAGACTTCAACCAACTTGCCTTGCATATTATTTCTACTATCTTCCGAGAAGAGTCGCCTTCTAGTAGTTCAGTAACTGCCAAAAAAATGAATAGGTTTATCTGAGATATGAAGCTAAACAAGTACATTCAGTAGTAAGATACAAAGTTGTTCATGCTTTTGAGAAGCATGAAGTAGCACAGCACCTATTAACTGATACAATTAGCCAGGACAACTACAGAAGATTCAATAGAAACAAGAAACATTATTTACTTCTGCTAATGCACATCAGCTGCGCCAAAAAAGGAGGAGCCCTGGCAACAACAAAATTCAAGTAACAGTTACCAACTATTTTATTGCTAATAGTTGATGCTGTTGGCTTAAGAATTTGTTCCAGTACTCTCATTTAAAAGTTGTTTCATCTGAAACTAAATGGAGACTTGAGCTGGATGAAGAACAAGTAACAGTGTCCCATTTGGAATAGGATAGTAAAAGCCAATAGAGTTCACACCATAGTTAGCCTGAAAATATATAAGACAATTGGTAACAGATGTGGATTTTCACAGAGCTTATAATGAATTTATTCTGCAAAGCATAATGTGCCTGCAATTAACCAGGAAAAGAACCACCAGAATGAGAAGCCTAGTGACTCAAAAATAATAATAATAAGCATAACAGCTTCATGTTAAAAGAGATCTGAATGGTACACTTGCTAAGGTAGGACATAACTAATATCATAAGCAGGTTTTCATAGTTCTGATGAAAGAACAATATAAAAAGCCAATGTTCAAAGTAGGACAACAATAAAGCCACAAATTGACTAGCATTTGGTGAGATCTAAACAGAATATTTCAGAAACTTTTTTCGATTTATAGACAACTAGGACATAATTAAAAAAAAAAAAGAAGAAATCTTAAAAAATCACCCTTTCTAATAGAAAAGAGAGAAAGAAATAAGTTACCACATCAAACACCAAGGAACAGAAAAGCAAGAGCATAAATGAATGAAGCATTGCAGCAGTGAGAGAGTACGAAGAGAAAGAAGGGTTTGCCCTCTTTACCTGCATGCTTGGACAGATGATGTGCCTCCAAAGCCTCCCATTTCCCAAACTGGTCACCACATCTATGGCAGATTGTAGGAGTGGCAGCCCCAGCAGAAGACCTGGCTTCCAAAGGAAAATGATTAGCTCCGTCGTTGCCAAGAACATCATTAGAAAGTGAAGAACCCCAAAGGGGATAACCCTCTCGATCGGAGAGAAGCCGATTAGCCTTTCTTGGAGGACTGGTGCTCCATCCTCCGGGGCCGGGAGTCCCAGGCCTGAGGGTGCCCACAAACGTGGATCCTACCTCGCCACCACCACCGTCATAGTGACTCCGAAATCCAGTTATCTTGAGCTCACACCCGGAGTCACTGAGAACTACCTCATGGGCAATGGGGTTCAGGACCTCACTGCTCCCAATAGACCTTGGGCTGCAGCAGCTTGGCCTCTCAATCTGCCTCCTGCCTCCATGGATTACATCTCTGAGGTTGGCCATGGATCTGGAGCAACCAGACCTGCATGTCTTCCTGGACAAGATGGCGCCAAGAGGGCCCCTGGCCTTTGGCTCGTGGACATCAGAAGGGTCAGACCTGCAGTGGAGAGATCTCTTCAGTGTGAACCAAAGAGTAGACATCTTCTTCCTTCCTTCCCCTTCTCTCTCACTGTGCGTATTCTGATCCTACATGCTCCATTACCATGTCTCTAGCAACCATGGCAACTCCAGCCAGTCCATCGCACCAGTAGGATTGACATTCCCTTCCATATGCAGAGAAGATTCCATCAAGGACTATATTCTCCTCATAGCGTTTGATGAGCTACCCAACCAAGGGAAAACCCATAATAAGGGCTCCAAAGGAGAATCCAATGACCCAGTGCAACAAAATGGCAGCTCCAGGTCTGTTGATTTAACAGAGAGAGAGAGAGAGAGAGAAGCATTAGCAAGACATCAACATCACGATCACAAAAGAGAGAAAAGACAAGCCAAATGGGTATCTAGGACATGGAATGCTTGGGCATTTGGCATGATACACAACCAGGAAAGCTAGGACAGTTGCACTCTTTTATTGTAGGTAGACTGTCCTCCAATCTTGAACTCCCCTTTCCATCGTAGCGAGAGAGAGAGAGAGAGAGAGAGAGAGAGAGGCATGGAAATGGCAAGTTCATTAATAGGAGGGGATGACCGGGTAGGAGATCAGACATACCAGATCCGAGAGAGGCACCCCGTTGACTTACATGAATCCAAGGTAGATCCCTGACCGAGCAGTAAGTACATACTACAACTCCAAACAAAATGGGCTTTGCATTTGATTGATCGAAGCAGGTCTTCCCATGTACGCATGACACATGGAGAGCAAACACTCAACGTGGTAGACCTTAATGGAGGAGCTGCTGTGGAAGGTCTCTTGCCATCCATCTTAGGGCCCACAAAATAAGTTCATCACCTGCGTCATTAAATTATTGGGAATGCGCTCTATTTGCATTGGCAAACGCATCGAACACAGCCTATATTATCATCACACGAAAAAGAGAAGCTGTAATAGGTGGGTGTCTCTGATGGATGGCAGAGGAGGGGAGAACAGATCTGGTGATGGACCACTAAGAGCATCATCTATGTGAACTGTGGTAGCACGCATCCCAATCAATAAATAAGAGGGCGTGTCATTGGCCCCTTCCCCCATGTGAGAGCCCTTGTCTTCTTTGGGATATCACCCGTGAGAGGTGACTTACTCTTGCGCCTTGCTCAGAGTAGGCTGGGAGATGGAAGCACAATGAAAGAGACGGATTCCAAATGCAGAAGAAACAGGTAACCAGGCAGAAGAACTTGTGTCAGCATGCACGGCAGAAACTACTCACTTGTTCAAGCATGATCACCATGGTGTTCCTTCTTTTTATCCTCTTTTGGATTCTCATGACGCTTCCTCCTCATTCTGATCATCTAGCAAACAGTTCAATCGATAGCAGTAAGAATTGATACATAGAAAGTTTTGGATCCATACCTCTGCAGAAGACCTTATTCTCAGATATGATGATGATAAAGAGAATGTTGGACCGTGGTTGGTGGTAATCTGTAAAACAAACTCTGGCTGCTAGTGCCTGGAACGGAAGAGGTGGATCCAAAAGATCAATGTACACCACCAGCTTTCAAATAACAAGGGCTAGAGGATGCAGTGGACCATTAAACTTTGCTACCCATACTACACTACAAGATGCAGTAGTAGCCTTTTTTGGTGTGTTTGAGCATTGCATGGAGGTGAAAAGCTTAGAGTTGCTTCGTGACTCCATGGAAGCTGCACTCTGCCAATTTCCTCCTGCATGTGGGAAGTCTGTAGTTGCTTGGTGACCCACCATCAGAGCTGCTCCCTGCCAATTCTCCCAATCCCAATAATGCATCTGTGTTCCTGAGTTCACAGGAAGTCAGACAAATGAATCATTTGTTGTTTTAGAAAATCCTGATAGGAGTTGAGACAAGAAAGGAGAATAAAAGTTCTAGTTCATGAAGAACTGGTATGCCAGAAAGTACATATGTATCCTTGCAAAGTCTGGACAACATAATCCTGGAAAAGTTTCAACTAACAATCAATTAGAAAAGCTAATGTAGATTAACCATAATGACATATATGAAAGTTTTTATATCTGAAACGATATATACTAAACTTGAACTTAGAAAGGGACAAATACGAAAACCAAAACCACTGACTTTGCAGGGTTCTATATGCAATTTTGAAATGTTAAGCAATATGTATACCATATACCAGTAGAAAGAAATGAGTACCGATATGTACACCATATACCAGCAGAAAGAAATAGCAAGATCTTAACATCGGAAAGCTCATGACGACAAACAACATAAATAAATTAAGATTTTAGCTATTTTACTTTTAAAAAATTACTAACATGACAAGCTTCCAGTACAAAATTTATGTTCAGGAAACGTGTTATGAACATACATCTGATATTAAATTTTCAGTAACAGTCACGTTCCTTAAAGGTTCACTTGGAGATAAATAATTATGCAATTCTTTTGGTAATTAAATTTTATAAACTAAAACCAGTTGAAGTGTACAACTCATCACTCACCCTGCAAGAATCTTCGATAGCAGAAGAAACACTCCTTATGAGTGTGAAACCCAACAATCTAAACAACAATCATTCACATCTTGTACAATTGAATTCTGATATATTTCAGAATATGTACCACAACCATAGAAGCAGTGATTAAAGATGTGAAACCGGTTTGTTGCTATGGGAAGATACTGGGAAGGAGTCATCATAGGCCCTCATAAGACAGCCGTTTCTGGAAGAAAAGAAAATGTCTGATCCCATCTGCACAACGTTGGAATAGGTGGATGAGGTAGAAACCAGCAAAATACAAAGCAATGAACCAGATATCTAAAATCCATATAGACCTTCCAATTCTGATATACCCATTCGTCTTTCAAGCTGGTTGTCTAACCATATACAGATGATAGATGAAGTTGATATCAGTGGACAGCTCAGAGGTCAGTATTCAAGTTTGGATTATAAGTACAATTGTGAAGGCTCTCATCCAAGAATTACCCCAAAAGAGGTTGTTGTCAATTCCGTGTCCAAATCTTAGACATTGCTGGTATCTGAAGAGCGACAATATCCATTTCACCTGCATGATCTCAACCAACGGATAACCCAACATTTTAAGAATTTGACACCACATTTTATGATAAAGCCTGAAGAAAAAAGTCCATGTATTTATATCTTATAAGACAATTCAAGCAAAAATCTTCTCCAATCAATGGCTGAGCAACCAGTGAAGGTGAGCACTAGTAGGCTGCAGCTGATTCACAAGGTGGCTATCTTAGTAGTTTTGCACTCCATCCATGAACTGAAATTGCTCTCAAACATTAACTTCACAAGTTGATTCAGATGCGAGCTATTTCCTTTCCATTTCAATAAGTTGGTGAAGAAACTCCTGCAATGCTCCAGGTCCATATGCATGAATGCTATTTTACAATGATACTTTTCCTTCCTCGTTGAGCTCTGCTATTGCAAGTTCTGAGAGAAAGAGAGACTCAGATGTGCTAACAACTGCCTCCAGATCAACAACTTAGCACCATGCAAGCAATACCATTATATCCTCTTGATTGCATGTGGATCAGACAACAGAAGGAAGTTCCCTTCCATCATTGAATGAACAATTTGCAGTCAATTAACAGGGAACTTTCAAGAGTGTGGATGAGATTACAACCTTACCACAACCACAGATTTAGGTTTCTTGTCTTGGTTGGGACAGAAAAGGGGGAGTCAGCACTGTGCAAAGAGACAAACACCAGAGAAAGAAAGTTCCAGTTACAACCTCATGGGCTGCCAGGAGCCATCTGGCTGTAGGAGATCCAGAAAATGCATGAGGCAACCTCTCAAGCCAAAAGTGGGTCCATACATATCCCATCACAACTAGGTTGCCAAATTGGCCCAGTCAGTAGCCACAAGCTTGACAGCTGATTGACATGTCTCTTCCTGGAATGCATCCAGCCTCCAATGCTTATAAATAACAATCTTCCTTTCCTTCATAAACACTTAAATTCTTCTTCCAGACAGATCAGCCTTATCTTCATTCAGTCTTTTAAATCCTCTTCAATGTGCACTGTTAGCCATGATGGAGAGCAAGGCAGTGATAGGTGAAGCAGACATGCTGCAGACCATGCAGCAAGATGCGCTCCGCCTGGCAGGAAAGGCCCTTGACCTCTTTGATGTCACTGAGTCCACCGAGATAGCTTCCTTCATGAAAAAAGGTACAGAAGTTTTATCATTTATGACAGTCATGTCAAACAAGGAAAGAAATCTAAGGGTGCTTTTGCCTTAAGATGCAAGTGCTCAATCCAAAGTTTGCATTACGATATGCAGCTTCATGCTTACATAAAAGCTCATTTTTATGGAGTCTGTGACATTTGTAAATGCAGGATTTATACTAACCATTGTGATCGACATTCAAATATATATAAACATATATTTGTATGTATGTATGTATTTATGTATGTGTGTATGTAAGTGATGCCCTGCACTTTGTCATGAAAATCTTTTGGTCACATGACAAGATGCGGGAATTTAGTGCCATCTTGCATCAACTGTTGCAGGCCACTAAGGTGATTAAGGGCATCAAATGTATCCTGCATTAGAATTTGGTAGAGCTAATGCAAACACAGATCTAATAAAGCAATGAGAACACAAGGGACAGCAAGAAAGTATACCTTCTACCCCCATTCTTTTCTTCTGCTCATATATGGGGTTTGCTTTTGCAGGAGTTTGATCAATCATATGGACCAGGGTGGCAATGCATTGTGGGAACAGACTTTGGTTCCTTTGAGACACATCATCGTGGCTGCTTTATTCACTTCAGCATAGGAAGCCTCATGATATTACTCTTTAGGGCCACATCGGCACCTGAAGTTGACACAACAGCATTCATTGCCATGGAATCAGTAGAAGTGTGAAATCCTCTTCTTTCAAAGTCCTGGATCATGGGGTCTATATGTAAATGAATATAACTTGAAAAGAAATATTCTTTTTTGTCAGTCCTCAAATGACTGCTCTCTTTATCCATCTTATTATCTTCTCCTGGACTTCATGACAGTTTGTAACTCGAAGAAATGACTAAGACGGCTACAATTCCATGTATTTAATCAAGTCTATAATAATTAAAAAGCTATATAATGGTTTGCGTCCAGCATAGATTCATAAAAGAGCATTATGATTTATAATGTCAAATCAAAGTATATCATGTTCACGGTTTTATATTGATGTTCTTAAAATGTTCATCATCTGTGTCCAATATATCATGGATACAACGTTAAATTCTAAGATCCTAGATGCCTATGAGTGGTTGGACTATGAGATAACAAAGACTACAATGACAACTGACTTTGCAGCACTAATGATGAGATTGAGCCATCTCTGTTGTATTGTGAGCTAGTTGTTGAATTATTTCCAACACAGAACCTTTGCATCTTATGTTTTAGAAAGAATGAAAGCATAAAATTAGGTGAAAATGGACCTTCCCATATCACAATGACTTACCAAGGAGCTCAACATCATAGAACTAAAGAAGGAAACCATTCTTTCGCACCAATACCGGTCTACAAAAATCTTCTTGGCCACATAGCTAAAGCCTCCAAAATGATTTTGGCATCTGCATCCTCAAACCTGGCACATATTCATTTAGTTGCTGCACATCTGACAACCAAAGTCATCATGGATTTTGGATCTATCAAGAGTGGAAGACAATGTTTCTGAACAATTAACTTTGTCACCTTTTGATTCCCACTGACAATCCAAGCTCCATTTGCTGCTATTAGGAAAAAACAATTAAATGCTCTTCATATCATTATAGCATACCAGCAGCTGATGGGCCAGATTTGAAGCCTTCAGCATCTCAATGCTATTACATCTGACAGAAGAATTCATCAAAGAGCTCTTTCATCCAGTACCTAGGTAGTGCAAGTTCCAAGTAGACCTCAGAAAGTCAATCTTTGAACCTTCCACCGAAGACTTATCTGAAAGCATCCACCAGGAACAAGAAGTTTGTTGAAGCAAGCGATAACTAAATCAACATCTTCACCAGATCTTTTATAGTGTCTAGATCTCGCAAAAGTTAATATTAAATAAAGTTAGGATTATAGAATAACATACGTGTAGAAGAAAGCATGCCCAATTTTATAAACTGTTGTAAGAGAAAGATAAGAGTGCAGTCATCATGCAACTGACTGGAAATATTATACAGAGTAAGGTGCAACCCAAATAGATGAAAAGGTTCAAAACTGAACCTTCATAATAAAAGTTTATTTATTCCGGATCCACCTAAAACATTCGTTTGATGGATTCTCTAACCTCATTTAATAAATTATTTGTTAAAGGTGCTGGCTAGTTCATCCAGTAAACCCTTTGGCCGAATCACTACAAGTTTCTGGGATCAAATCCCACCTTCACCACTTGCACTTTGCAGGAAAAAAGTTTATTTATTCTATAGTCTAGATCAATATCGGAGTAAGTTGCTAAAGTGGACAGAATAAAGCTATTTGAGCATTTAAATTCTATCAATCAGTGAAGAATATGTAAATCATGTTTTCAGGAACAAGGTTCAAAAGGCACAAACCGTTGGCCAAGTAGTACCGTCAAATCATACCAATCGCTGTATTTCCTTCCAAAGATTAACATCTAAAGAAGTGTCTCCTATTTAGCATATGAAGCAGTACATCACCACACAGAAAATTCAAACAAGATATTTCCTAATATCAATCAGCATGATCTCTAAACCCATATTCAAATAGGCAAACCCGAGACGAGTATTTACACCTACAGTAGCTCGCAAAAGAATCAAACCCTGCTATACTGAGAATATGAGTTCCGAAATAGTCTGTGCAATGATGCTGCCAAGTGGTTGAAGCTCTCATATGTAAGAGCAATGCTTCGGATGCAGCACTGATGAAAGGGAAGGACACAAATAACCATAAACTACAGGCAAAAGATGGATGTTAGACCCCAGATTCATGACACAAGATTGGACTTACCAAACTGCAGCTTCCCCTCATCTATAACTCCCCAGTATATCGTCCAACATCCGTAATCTTAGAACAAGTATGCGAAACATCGAACCTTTTGGAGGATCAGCCATATCTGCTGTCACTTACTAGATCTCTTGGCGCCTGCTGATCTCAATACCAAGCCTTGTCTCCCGTCTCACTCCCAGATCATCGGAGGCAAAGGGGAAGGTTAGCATTACAAGGCGTGTCAACTGTAAACTTGACCGGGAGGCACGGCGCCCAGCCACGGAAATGGCCCGAGGGAGAGGCCCACATAAAGCCCGTATCTTATGTGATACTGTCATTATACAGCTTTTCAGGCCAATCTCCGAAGGCGCCGGAGGCGCGGTGCCGGAGATGGCGGATATCCGACTTCCACGGGGCACCGGGAGGTGGTGGACTTCGACAATGGAGGCACGGAATAACACATCCGGCCGGGAAAGGAGAGAGGAGCGAGCGAGAGGATTCAAGTTCAAGATCAATAACGTAACATGAGAGAACCGATCGATCCGGGGAACTCATTTATAGTTTTAGGGCGTCTTCTTAGACCGTTGGATCAAGATCAAAGAGGTTTATCTTCCGTTATCGGATCGAACAAGAGTTGGTGGATATTCGATCCGTGTAGTACCGGGCCATCGAATCGGATCGTGATGCACAAGTGACCGGGCCGGGCGTCTAATGCAAGACCGGACACTGCCCAAAGACAAATAAATGATAACAATTAATATTCTTAATGATATAATTAGTTTAAACATCATTAGAGCCCATATAAACCATTTCGTACTGTAAAAAGACACAGGTAATGGCGTCTTCTTCGTAATCATGAAGTGCTTGTTTGGATCATCACCCTTTCACACTGTGAAATCATCTCGGTTAGGCTTGGGTGATGTTAGCAGCGCCGTGTACAGCCTCAGCTTGTCTTCTTCCATCGACGAGCACCGAGAAGGCGGCCGACGCGGTCGTATGAACGACAAGGACGTCAGCGTCAGCCGATGCTTGTACCTCCACCACGCCAGCTGGATCGCCACCGCCGCCCATGTCCGCCACCCCGGCGAGTAGTACCGAGCGCTCCTCTTCACCCTCTCGCTGACGAAAGTGTAGCGGAAGTGCTCCGTCACGTACTTGAGGTCGTCCGCGTCCAGCCCGAACGCCTCGGTCGATTCCGCTGCCACGAGCGTCGACGACGACGGCGGCAACCGCTCCACGAACTTGCGGATCAGGCACCACGACAGGAGCTCGTCGCCGCTGAAGTTCCCCGGTCCCAGCATGCAGTAGCTCTTCACGCCGTCGCGCAGAACTTGGCTGCTCTGGAGATGGCCCCTCACCACGAACAGCATCCTTGGGACTGGATCGCCTTCTCTTATGACCTGTGCGGAGTTGCAGAATCATCATGCGAGCACAAAGGAGAGAAGAAGACCGAGGAAGATGCGTAACGCAGCAGGGGCTCACGGTTTCTCCCTTGGGGATGAGAAGAGACTTGACTCTGTCGCATATGTTCTCCAGCACCAGCTCATCCATGTGTTGGAACAGAGGCACCTGCAATGCTTCTAATCTTTAGTCTCATATGCAGAGAGTCTGGTGCCGATGTCTTCACCATCAGGAACGCCATGAAAGAACGATTACCTGTCGAACAAGATCGAGGCAGAGGTGGTACTTGATGTCCCTCCTCATCCCCTCGGGCAGGCGCCGTGCCATCTCAGACTCGTCGACCCCTCTCGTCGCAGCCCATCTCTGCCGCTCGTACTGCCGCACCCTTCGCCTGATCTCAAACGGTAAGCTCCTGCGTCGCATCCACCGATCCAAGCTCCGCATCTTGGAGTGCAGCGCCTGCTTCTTCGACGTTGTTGCGTGCAAGAAGACCTGCGCCAAGCTCATGAGCACCAGCAACTGTAGCAGAATGATTGGTCCATCAGATTGCTCACCTTGATGTTCCCGATCAATGTCGTAACCAAAAGCAGTGCACTAGTAACGATGATGATGTTGAAGGTGATCTCCACCCACTCGGTTGTGCTCTCGATCGTCCCGAACGTGCTGGATGCCAAAACAAACAATCGAACATATATAGTGCAAACTCTAACTTTGATCTTAACATTTTATCATACAGTATTGGCATCCTCAGTAGCAGAGAATGCAAATATCAAATCTTTCACGTATTAGAGAAGCAGAATCAATCTGTTTGCTCGTCTAATTTACTCTCCGCAAAGAAACCAAAGATATCAGCATGGATGTTGGAAGGCTCTCATGAGATCATCCCTGTTAACTTGGTTAAGGGATGATTTCATTTCCATAAACTCTGCAGAATATCTTATCAACAACCATGTATGAATGATACAGATAATTAGCAATGTTATGGTAAAGGAAGATGAGAACTGCTTACCTAAGAGTCATGAGTCCCCAGAAGATCGGAAACAAGACCTTCTCCAAGCGATTAGGATTCGTGACCAGATTGACTATCCACTTATAAGATCCGTACTCGAAATTGTCACTGCTATCGAGGCACATCGATCGTACGTGCAGATTTTTAGCCCAAGCCAATCTCTCCCCATCCATGGCTGCTCTGGTGGTGCCATAGTACATGGGATCTACACATGCCACCGTCCTATTTCTGCATCCATCTGTTGCGACGCACTGCTGTTTGAGGCACTCTGTTGCCCTCTGAATGCCCAGCAAGTACCAGCAAGCGCCTGCTGCCTGTCGACAGTGTAAGCTGTGATGGATAGAGTACGAATCTAATTCTGACGAATTGTTTGAAGGCTGTGATCGAGGTTGCAGGATAGAGTTGTGTCTCATGGCACAAACATATCCGAAGGCAAGGTGACATTTGATTCACAGCCTTCTGTTCGAACCATTCGATGTTAATCGAGCAGATCACTTTGGGGATGACAGAAACAACAAACATACTCACATGCGATGCAACGAAGTAAGCAATCAAGTTGAGAGCGATTCCTCCCCAAATGTTGCCGAAGATGTAGCCTAAAGAATTCTGCAACCTTCGAAGGAAGCAGACCGAGTGATAGACCTTCGGGAGGTACTGCGAGAGAAACGAGATCAAGAACACAGTCATCACCGTCGACGTCATTCCTTGGCACAGCATTGCGGGAGCTACGACCCACAGAACAACCTGCAAAAGATGACCCCCATCCGGTAACAGTACTTCTCAGCAACACAGTAATTAAGGTTTTTCATTCGTGTTCAACGACGAAAGCAACAGCATCTCATTCAGATTTCATGTAAACCTGGATTGTTTCTGAGAAGAAGATGCGTGGCATTCATGCAAGCATGATTAAGAACCTTTTGTGGGGATCACGGGGGTGCTTGTGTTTGTGTGCGCTACTTCATTTGTGTATGTATGCACACTAGGATGTGAGCATGTCCTGTGGAGGCCGTTGAGGACCAGTGTCCTCTTCCCGTTAATGAGCAAAACGCCAAGAAACGATGGCAACAATTCATGCCTAAGAAACAGAGATAGGCTAAAGATTAATCTCTCGTCGTGCACTCACTCACCTAAGCATGGCAATGAAAAGAACATTTTCTTCTTGAATGTCTTAGTTATGTGTTCGTCGAGAAAGATAGGATCAGGTGTTGCAAGGTCACGCAACCTGAGGCACCGGGAGGATGATGAACAGATCGAGGAGAAAGCCCGTCTTCGCTCTCAGGTAGCTTTGGCTGTGAGCCATGGGTCTGCCCGCCGACGCATCCTTTTCTTCCACGCTCGATCTCGGCGTTGCGTCGTAGGTCATCGCCAGCTGCAGGCACATGTTCAGTAGGTGCACCGCGTCGGTCATGCACCGGAGAGCGGTGACGGTGACCGCGAACCAACCGTCGACGAAGAGACACATGCACGTGCTGCTGATGGACAGGGCGTAGAAGAAGAGAGGATCCACGACGAGCCCGGCTGCGCATATCAGGAGGAAGATGCGGTTCCACTCGTGGAGCCACTTGGCTTGGCGATCCGACGAAGGGTTCCTCCGGCGGAACGTGCTGGCGACAACAGTCTCCTCGTCATGCGAGGGCATCGAGGAGCCTTCACCGGCCATGATGGTGGCTGAGGAGATGGTGGAAGCAGGAAGAGTGGCAGGATGAATGGTGGACAGTCGAAGCCCGAGATAGTTGTAGTAGCAGCAAATGACATCGTCAGACGTAAGGAAGAACCCAAAAAGACAAAGGTGGTCACTGTTGTGACTATGCAAGGACAAGTATCCCCATGTGAAAAGCGAATACAAGATTGCCTCATTGCGATGCAGTGGGGCACCGACGCCCCTGTCATGCACACTTGAAATAACCATTTCAGGGTAGGCTGCTCTTCCACAATGCTCATCGTTTGTGTGTCTTCAAGTTTTGTCGTCTCACTCATTGCTTGTGTGTATTCCCTTCTTGCAACACGCATGCAGGTACTCCTGCTACAGCCAATGTTGTGGCTCTTAACCAGGTGAACAAATTCCTGCCGATTCTAGATTTCATGAAGACGATGGATGTTCTATCTATCAGCTGAAGTATGACTGCAGTTTTAACCACCGGCAATATCTCATATTAAGCAAAATGATAGCAGCTTAGCAAACACCACCACCAACGACAAAAGGAATAAGAAGAATTCAAGGCATGTTCGCGGCAGCTTCCTGCATTCTGCTCTGTTGCATGTCACCAACTCGCGCTGTCATCCCCAAGTGGCAAGCAGCGGCCACTTTGCTGCCGTCTAAAGGTAATCATTTTCCGGCTTAAGATTCTCTCGTCATTTTCTAAGCTTGTCAAACTGTATTCTCGTGTCCCTCCAATAATTCCTGGCCTCTTGGCATCCTAAAAGATCTAGCCTTCTAGCAGCGTTGCGTTCAGAGATGAAAGCATTTCCCCTGGTAATAGCCATTGTCATGTTCCTGAGATGTCAAATTCAGAGGAAAAAACTGTTCTTTCTGCTATTATATTTGATGGCGATCGATGCTTTTGCCACCCCATCAGAGATTTTATTGCTAATGGGTACAGCGATAAGAACAGCGACACCAAGGAAAGAGACCAGACAAGAGGAAACGTTTGTCCTGGCAGCCAACACATGATTTGTCTTCTCAACCATATTATTTCTCATCAGGAACATGAGACAGACAGTAAACTCTCTTTCATTATGGAGAACAAAGTATATTTCTAGTTTCTAATGATCTTACGAAAGTATGATCTATCTATCCAAGTATTCAAAGGGTCTCTGATCTTACGCGAGAAAGAAGAATATGATGAACCGTGCTACACCTGTTTGTTTATACCACGATTTAGTCTCTATATGATGACGACGAATTCTTGATATGAACTTTTCACATCTTTTTCACCAGTACATCCAGATGATGTCAGATCGAGTTCATGATGAGCCAAACCTTTTATATGATATTATTCTGATAAGAACTGGTAATTTTCTGTTTATTCTTGCCATCAGCTTAGAGGAATACTACAATCTGTAAAAGGCACAACGTCTAATCACTCTTTAGAAGAGTTTGGATTACGATGATATCATATTATGTCATTGTGCATCATTTTTATTTACTTATACATATATTTGATAGCACATTTTATATTATTATTATTTTTTTCTTGAAAACTATAAGTAGGGATAGTTTGTAGGCCTACAGAATGATCACTCGTTAGAATTAATAAAACTATCCTAGAATAACTCAATTTTCATGTGTCATGATTTGTTTTTTTAAAGTTACAATGTCGTATGAAATTTTAACTATCTTAACGCCGTAGAACCACCTAAGTAACACAAGTTCACACGTAAATCCTATGAGAACTTGTTAACATGATTGACGCACGATGAGCGATTGTTTGTAAACTTATGACTATTTATTTATCTTCTAAAATTTTTATTTTTTTCTCTTTCTTGCAGATCAAATATTTGTTGGATTGTTTGTAAAAATGTTATATCGAGACTTGTCCCTTCCTTACATTCGAGATTAATTAATTTAATTTTTTTATATATTCTTCGAGCCTTTAGTTAGGATACAATTAGATTGATCTCTGGATCAAATAAAAATATCTTACGATTTAAATAATTTTAATTAGATCCCTAACAATATAATTTTAATTAAAAACAGCTCTTCTTGAGATTTCGATGGCTTTTTTTATTTAAGATTACAACAGCTTTAATTTTTGAAGCAAAATATTATGTATCTCAAGCTTTATACAGTTTTATCTATCTATCTATCCATCTTTCTTTCTTTCCTTTTTAACTTACACATCAAATCTTAATATGATTTGATATGTTTCGATTTTATCAAAAATAAAATAAAAATCAAATCAATTCCAAACGAAATCGATATTTTATTTTTATTTTTAATCAATATATAGTATTTAATATTTATTTTTTTTAATTCAGTAATCTTGTTTCAAAATAATGCATTCATATCTGCATTTGGATCATAACCTTATCGGATTTGGCTTAAATCTGACCCGATAACACTCGGTGGCTTTGACGAAATAAGAGGCACGTCACATCGGGCTGTTGTCCTTAATCGGATCCGAACTCGTTATCGATTTGGGTCGAACCTGACCCTAACCAGACTCCGTCGATGTTCCGTTCCGAGATTCCAAATTCTGGTTAAAGACGCAGGACGTAACTGAAAGGAAACCAAGAAAGCAAACGGTTCGACCGCGGAATCGATTGGGAGGAGACGAGGCATGGCAGCGATGCAGCTCACGCTCTCCTCCTCCTAAGACCGGCCGCGGAAGCAGCAGCTTGGAGAGACGACGATCTTCCTGCCTCTGCCCCTAACCCTAACCCTAACCCTGAGCCTTGGTTCTGGAATCTCAAGTGCCACCCCTTGGGATCTCTCCGGAGATGCGTGTCGGTTGCCTTCGCCGGCTCTGAGGGGGGATGAGGCGGAGACCGTTCGATCTCCGTCGGCCGGCGAGGCGGGGATGGATTTCCGGCGTCTGGATGTGGCTGGTGGCCGGCGGCTTTGGGGTGCTCCTGCTCCTCGTGATGCTCAGTCGCGAGAAGCTACCGAGATCCGCGCTGCCGTTGATCCGCCAGGTGGGGTCTTTAGACTCGATACTTTAGATGTCGTAAAATTGTCTTGTTTGTGCTTGTACGGATCGTTTTCACTCTGGAGTCACGAGATGGGGGAGAACTTTGGATCCGTGATTTCTTTCCAACTCTTTCGGTTTTTTTCTTTCAAATGCCTCCAAGAAATGATTTCTAGAATATCTTTTTATTTATTTCTAGAGGATTATAAGATCACGTACATGATAAAGTTGCATTCAAAAGTTATTCATGCCATGTAGTTGTTATGAATGATCAACTTACCGTATGCTCTCGTTTCTTGATTTGTAATGATTGGTAAGGAGCATATTGCCACACAATACATTCTAACTAACAACAAATATCTTCGTATGGACAAATTCCATATCCTAGACAAGTGTTTTTAGTGATGATTGATGGGCTTGTCCAACAGCTTTCGTTTTTAGCAATTGCATCGCAGTCCATCTTGTTGAATCCAATCACAGCTTAGACATGGCTAGCACCAATGGCATCCACCATCACCTCATGCTGGCTCCCGTTTGCACATCCATGCTATAGTTGTTCTTGCAACGGTGAATCTGCTTGTACTAGCATTGATGGTGCTGTCAAATGGGCTCTTCCTTGGTGGTTAAAGATTATTTTACTACATTGTTTCTCTGCATTCATGTTGCCCCATCCTTTTTGAAAGCCCTCAATTCTAATAAAAATTCTAAATGGTGAAAAGATTAATGATCATGTCTTGCGGCTATAGGCTGTATTGTTTAACTATGTAAAGCTCATGTTTTCTATTGCTTTCTCTGTTGTTTTACTATCTAAATGTTAAATTGTTGATTTGTTTTTTCACCAGACATATGCTAAAAAGGATCCTGACAATTGACAAGAAAAGCCTCATGAGTATTTAGGGATTGTCTCAGCACTTTAACTGTAGCAATCCAATAAATGCTCTCATTAGCTGAGTTCCTCTGTAATTTAAATTATCCTCTCTCAAAGTTTCGTAGTATATATAACTCAATAGCTTAGTTCCTCTATAACTTGAGAAACATTGAATACCACCCTTATTCTTAGATATTAGTATGAAATAACTTCCGTCTAATCATTAGATGTTTCTCTAGTTTTCAATATTTTGCATGATAAACTAGTTAACCAAAATACACTTAGATGTTTTAGACTCCAAATCTTAATAGAAATATCATCAGATACTACACTCTTATGCATTTCCATTGTCTTCAAAGTTTCCTTTACCTCACATGCCCTAATTCTACAAAAAAATCTACTAATACATTATGTTCATCTTTAAAAGTAAATTACCTATATTATTAAATAGCTTTTTTTCTTTCTTTCCATAATATATATCATCATTATGAATCTTTTGTTCTTTATCCTTAATGCATGAAATAGGTCGGGCAGAAATATCCGTTAAACACATCACTCTTTTCTTCCATCATAGGTTGATTTTTTATCTTCCTTTTGCAGTTAAAAACCTGCTCTCTCTCTCTCTCTCTCTCTCTCTCTGTCTATATATATATATATATATATATATATATATATATATATATATATATATATATATGTATGTCATTAGCTTTGGGAGGTAAAGTGATTTTTGTTTCTTGAGATTGAACAAAGATACCTTATGAAGAGGGCAGTTGGATTCTGTCAGAAAGGTGTAACATATTTCTTGAAGCTATTAGAGTTTCATATAGATTGTCAAATCTTATGTCCCTTGATAAGAATCACTGAGGAACGGAACATGCTAATGGCCTCATCGCTGTTATATCACCTAAAAGATGGTCAAGTCTCTAGTTAAAAGTTTGGTTTTCCTGACAACTCAACTTTACGTTAAATTATTTTAATTCTTATTATTTTAACTTGATTTAAAATATTGTTTGCTGTGGGAATAGAAACCAAAATTGGTTTTGTATTTACATTATTAAAAGAGGATGGAGACAATTAGATGTACATTTATTGTTTGACTTTAGGAGTCCAGAACTATCAAGGTTTTTCTTTTAGCTCATACCAAACTAAGCTCTTTAGTAGTTTTTTCTTCTAGCTTATACCAAACTAAGCTCTTTAGTCATTGGCAAATATTTATTGCTTCAAAGGTGTATGTGTGTGTATGTATATATATATATATATATATATATATATATATATATATATATAT